AAAAAAAAGAAGACTCAAAAACATTTCTCCGAATACTTTTGATTTACTAGTCTAATTATTTATCCAATGGTCAAGGACGCAATCGCGCACCGCATATGAAAATGATGAGATAGCGGGGAAGCAGTGGAATTATGTATAAGCTCGATGAACAAGTACAGTGAACTTCAAGCCACATAAACATCTCATTTTCGCCGGACCTACTTTGGGATGACGTACAGGAGAAAATTAAGTTATGCTGTCGAGTCGAGGTTGTTTGAACCGTTTCGAATCATGCCGCCCTGCAGGGAATGTAGGAACATCCTCTTATCAAAATCGGACCCAATTCGACACTTAAGAACAGAGGGTTGAACAATACTCTTTTGTTCCGAGAACAAACCCAGTTATATCGTGCAGCGTATTTTTATTATACATTTTTTACTATAGTAAGGGAGACATATCTTATTCTGACCCCTTTTTTGCAAAAGATGCGTAATCCATAAAGCTTAAGGCAGCGGATTAGGTGAATGCAGATTAAGCATGGTTATGGATCTGCTCCCACTTCAATTAATCAGATGTCAGTCGCTAATTATCCGTTGACTAAACTGAATTCTCCAAGAAATTCTACTCCAGATACTTCTGTTATCGCGTGGACCAAATACACAATGAAAGGCCGAGGCGATCTTCATACAGGAACGCTGCATGGTTGGCGCTTTAACAGCCATCATTTCATGGGATTTCTATTTCCCCTGTAAAGAGACAGTTGAACCTACTGATTGTTATTGTAGTGATGTGAGTTGTCGTGAGGGTACGGCATCTCGTAATCCAACGCTAATGATCCGCCGCCAATCGATAGAAGTTGTTGTAGAAATTGTTGTTGAGGGTGACTCTGCTTAGCCTGTTGCTGAAGAGACGATAATGGCAGTGCTGCTGGAGTTACTGCTCCCGCTTTCGCTGCTATGGCTTTTGCTGCTGATGGTAGTGGAGATGGAATGGCTACCGGCGATGGTGGTACTACTGCTCCTCCCGCCGCCGAAGATGCACCAACGGATGCCAAGTTCGCGTTGGTAACACCAGAACGAACTCTGAAAAATATCTCTCTTAATGAAGTATGATGACGGACACAAGAATATGGACTAGTACCAGAAGAACAGAAGAAAAAGTAAGTGAAAGAGAGTTCACACAGAACACAAGCTGACGGCAAAGAGATGAACTGAAAGCCTATGAGAAATAGAAACGAGTGGTGGTGTTGAAAAAGTACTGGAGCTCGGGGAAACTTAGCACTTAAGGGCAACCTAAGGACGGTGCTACCACATCCGATTGGTTGCCCTATTAGGCTGGTGGGATGGGGAGACGCTTTTGCCCTACCGGAACCCTATGAATAAAATAAATAAATCGGAAAAAGGAAATAAACGAAAAATTATGAAACAAAAAAATCTTGAGATGAGGAAAGTAGGACGAGAAATATTCTTCTCAATCCCACCCACCATTTTGAATGCGCCGTGCTAACGACTGGCACTCTGCCGGTGATTGTTTGCCCCTTATAAGGTCTATTACTTGTAGGCTGGGTAACGAGACAGGCCAAAAAACAGCGGATCAGAAAAGATTGCTGAAAGGAACTTTGAGGATGAGTAACGAATTAGTCTAAAGTCTACTGTGTTTTTCAATAGGAAATGTCTGCCGAAGGAAGGCTGAGGAAAAATTAAGGTGTCATATAGACGATGAGAGAAAAAGACTATTTTTTTTTTTGCAAAAAAGGCCGAGAATGACCGTCCTGTGAATGGCATGGAACAGAGGCAGAACAACAGAATGTTCTGTTCCCAAAACAAACATTCAGTGGTTGGCACCTGATTATAGTTCAATGTCTTACGTGCCTTTCGTCAAGTGCGTGTAGGTCCTCTGACTGATGAGGCAAATGCAATCAGTTGTCCGCATACGGGGAAACACACAGTTTCTGGCTGGAAGTACTTTGAGACGAACTTCAGGATCCTGGTTGAACTAATTAAGTGGCCTCCATGCAGTTCTCACTAGATTCACTCACAAACATGGCATCTCTTTGCTCAGTCCCAATCTCCGATCAGCTTGTACCGTTACATGCGCTAACTTAACAGCTCCCAGTGATCGGTAAAAGCATTTCGTTGTGGCGAAGTTCTATCTAGTGACTGATCAACCATGTTCCTGCGTATTCGGCTACTTTCGGACACTGCCCCTCAGACTCGTCGATTCCTCCGAAATTCTCATTCCGCTAGCCGTGACGTGCTCGCTGTCGTCAGGCCGTCAATTGCTATGCCGAAAAAGGTTATCAAAACAGCTGCAAGCCTATCAACGTTTCTGCTGCCGCTAGACTATCGAATTAGCACCGCCTGCGAGCGTTCGTCCTGAATACGTCCTTTGCATGGTAACAGCCCGTGTCCGAGCACAACGTAATTCAGGCAGAACACTCCTCTACTTGTAGCAAACGAATACAGGAGTTGTACGAATCGAAACAGACAGAAAACCAGTACGTAACACTGACATAAAGCTATTTCTTTTTTGCAAAACTTGCTAGGAAACTTCTTCTCCTTGTATTTAACTACCACTGTGAATAGTATAAATGAGATCTATACGTAAACGAGAGAACTCGAAGTTATTTTAGACTTAATCAGCGAAAAAGTATTCTTTATGGCAGAACTAGCGAAACAAGCGACTTTCGCAGTTGTTTAAATAATGTACGAGGGCATGAGCTAGTTTCTCAAACGACATCAGTTTTGTCATAACAAAAAACGACACAGCCATCCGAGTCATCATTATTTGTAGTCACTAATGTTGGATCCTCTTTGATGAAGACTTTGAGAGGTTTGGATAAACGCTAACTCCTTCATCGCTTTTCTCATTCTTTTAAAATTCGAAAAAGAAACAAGTAAGGAACTTAAGACAAGCTGTAAATAGTAGCTGTAATGGGATCAAGTCTTCATGAAACCAGCCTCGTTGCAAATTTATGTTAAGCTTATATGCAAGCTAATTCGCGAGGCACCTAGCATAAAATCCTCAGATTATCAGGAACGTTCCATGGGAAGTGCTTTCCATGGAACGAAAAACAAGAAAATGAGGAACTGCCAGACAATCAGGCCTTTCACAACGACTTAATAAAGTAGAAATGTCGTCCTAAGAAATGAAATCCTCTGAAGAGCTTGAAAAAAACCTTGGAAGGAATGGGTGTTCACATGCTTTCGTAGTAGACATCCCTGCTCGAGGAATTTAATGAAATTGTTGCTCCATTTGAGCAAGGGAATTGCTATGGACTTGGAAGAAAAGTAAGCAAACCCCCTTGATTTTGTTGACACATACTTTGTCGAGAAATCTGATAAAACACCCAGGAAGAGCCCACTTTAACAGCAAAATACCCCCAGAAGTATGACACAAAATCCTACAGTACAAATCATAGAGGTTTACCAATGCAGAGTAAGAATGGAAGCGGTAGTGCTCAGATGAAGCGATGATTATTCCCAAGGATCAGTTACCTCACAGATTGAACTGCTTGTTGGTTCTTCATGACAGAAAGGCAAGTGGTGGAAGGATCCGCCAGAGCAATGTCCAAAATAGATTCAACGACAAGCTATTGCGAAGCGGCGGACCTGATCACGACGCTACGCCGTGTCCAACCGCTCTCCCAATTCTCTCCTGATGACCACCACCAAAACACACTTCGTCGACAAGATCCTATCCCCCGACGCAATTGCCGCAACACGCGCTAGCGCACTTTTTTCCTCTGCTTCCTCGTGTACTTTTTTCCTCGTCCTTTCTGGGGAAGTAAGCAGTCAGTCAACTATCTAAAGTGCAGACACACACTGACGCCATCGAGTCGACTTTCTATTCAAAACAAAATCGCTATCGTTCGACGGCAATGACACAAAGAACGAGCAACGACAACGACTGAACGGATGGCTAATGTTTCGATGAGAGATTAATCATCTTTTTTCGCTCTCAGTTTGCAGCACTACCACGAGAACGAAAGAACGGCTTACGGTATGACTACAGCCAAAATTGGTGTGATTAACTCTGTTGTGTTTTCCGTGAACCAGGCGATCTTACAGAAAACTACGTACTCCTCAAAACGATATGTCTTCATTACTATCTGGGCACAGATATCTCGAATGCACTTACTTCGAATGAGCGCGATTAGGTCTACAAATTTAAGAAATCTTACAAACTTTCAGAGACCACGCTTCAAAAGCACGATGAGCCCTGTGGGGCACCAAGATAAGAGTACCGAAAGGCATCCGGATAAGATAAGAGCTTCAAGAGCAGGCGAAAAATTGGGTACTCTTATCCTGATGCCCCACAGGGCTCATCGCATCCGCTATCGTTTCGGTGCTCGATTAAGATGAACAGTGAAAAACAGATTCGCTGACTGGGATTTTCAAAGGCCCTGACGAAAATCTGAGGTACTTGCAAAAAAACAATGTGGAAGTAGAAACAAAAGCCCATACTCTTGGAGCCCTACGTATGAGTAAATGATTAGCTAGAGAGAGGGCCCAGATCACAGTTTCATTGAGTTGTCTCACTGTCAGCTCGCTCTTGAAACATTCCGATCAATAAGAAACTAGTGAGGTTCATTGGGAAATAACCTATCAACAGCACAGAAAATGAATGTCAACATGATTACTCTGCTCATTTCCTTGAAGGAGTCATAACGGCGATCAGAATTGCACCAGAGTCGAATGCTTAATTTATAGAATACAAAAAATCGTAAAGAAAGGACAAACACTCGAGACGACTTCTACACGTGTCCAGGGTGTTTTTAACAAAAAAAGGAATCCCACAATGAAAACACCTAGCAACAAAAAATAGACAAACGGACGCGGCCACCCAACT